AGGATGAACAGGTTGATATAATTCTTGTGTAAAGAAGAAATGAACAAAAAACATGACGTAAATTAAGTAGGAAAAGTTATTATGGTTAAACATGACTTGGTGTAAATGTGAACAAGATGAACATTACGTGAAAATAGGATGAACAACGCAACATATCATGAACAGGACATGACTATGAAATGAAGGCAACACTTTATGAACACAGATGAACAAAAGGACAGACGAGAATACAGAGATGAACATTATGCAAATTAGCATTAAGAACACCATCAAGTTGAACTCCCGCATGAATAATTTTCACCAAGAATAATATTTCGGTGAATACGCAGAGACAGACAGACAGATGGAGATAGATAGATAGATAGATAGAAAGAGAGAGAGAGAGAGAGAGAGAGAGAGAGAGAGAGAGAGAGAGAGAGAGAGAGAGAGAGAGAGAGAGAGAGAGAGAGAGTGAGAGAGTGAGAGAGTGAGAGAGTGAGAGAGTGAGAGAGTGAGAGAATGAGAGAGTGAGAGAAGATAGAGAGAGAGAAAGAGAGGACAGAGAAAGAGAGAGGGGAATAAGGCAGAAAGAAAACAAAAAAATGTGAACAGCAGATTTGAACATGAAACTTGACCGAAGTGAACATCAGAAACGCATTAGTGAGAACGGTGAGAGGAGAGAGATCAACGAGACACAAAGGGAAAGGAGAAGGAGAGGGGAAGAGAGAAACAGACCGTTTGGTGAAGAGGGAGAGGGATAGAGAGAGAGAGAGAGAGAGAGAGAGAGAGAGAGAGAGAGAGAGAGAGAGAGAGAGAGAGAGAGAGAGAGAGAGAGAGAGAGAGAGAGAGAAAGGGAGAGAGAGAGAGAGGGCAGAAAAAGAGAGGGAGAGGGGGGGCAGATAGGCAGACAGACAGAAGTTTGATTTTATTTGATAAAAAATTATTTTCAGAACAGTACACGCCCTACAAAAAGCCAGGGCATGATGATATTTTTTTTTCTAGAGGGTTGTCAATCAAATATTGGTTATACGTGCCTGCAGAGCTGTGCAGTTGTGCTTAAATTATTCATATATCATCTGTTTGGCAAAATATATTTATATCGCTAATCATGTGAAAGACAAGACCAGTGCCTATAATAAAATTAAAGGGCAGTGCTGTTTGATCGATAGAAGCCAGTTTTCGAACAACAAAAGTAAGTAATGTATAAGATTATGCGACTCGGGGGCCTTGCACATTTTTCAGTGCTGATATGAGCTTGACTTTGCCTCCAAAACTGCATCCTGTACATAATATATAGTGTACTAATATCCTTTGCGTAGCCAGGTTACACTTATAGACTTTGTATGGTTTGTCCATATCAGAGGTCCCTGCAATACTTTCATTATGCCAGATAGTGCCATCTCCGTTCTTCTTCAGTTCTTCGATGGTCCATACCTGGCCCTCGTAATCTCGGATACAGCTGAAAACACGCCTTTTTAAATTTGTTTAAGAGATAATGGTACTGCATAATATGTTTTTTTCACGGGAGAGTGCTAGTTTTGCTAACTGATCCACCTTGTCACAGGGTGATATTCCTATATGACAGGGTATCCAGTATAGTGACACTTGTATACCCTGCTCTGATAGGCTAGAATTTTGGTGTAGGATATTTCCTAGTCACCAAGTCTCCTGGACTAAATGCAGTAAGTCTATAGAGTGCACCTTGGCTGTCAGAGAAGACAGCTAAGAGTCGCTGCTGTTCACTACCTTTTTTGATGTCTTGGTGTATATTGCTTGCCCAGCTGGAAATTCGGGTAATGATCTTCTAATTCGGTTACTGAAGTCATGGATTTAGGCATATAAGCTATGCCATGGTGTAAGAGAGAGAGAGAGAGAGAGAGAGAGAGAGAGAGAGAGAGAGAGAGAGAGAGAGAGAGAGGAGAGGGAGAGACAGAGAGAGAGAGAGAGAGAGGGAGAGACAGAGAGAGAGAGAGAGAGAGAGAGAGAGAGAGAGAGAGAGAGAGAGAGAGAGAGAGAGAGAGAGAGAGAGAGAGAGAGAGAGAGAGGGAGAGACAGAGAGAGAGAGAGAGAGAGAGAGAGAGAGAGAGAGAGAGAGAGAGAGAGAGAGAGAGAGAGAGAGAGAGAAAGAGAGAAAGAGAGAAAGAGAGAGAGAGAGTAAGAGAAAGACAGACAAAGACAAAGACAGAGACAGAGAAAGTAAAGAAAAAGAGAGACATCCCTCCCTCTTTCCCTCCTTCCTTCTCTCCTCCCTTCCCTCTTTCCCTCCTTCCCTCCCTCCCTCCCTCCCTCTCTCCCTCCTTCCCTCCCTCCCCAAAACCACCCGAATACCCTCCCCTCCCCCCCTAAAACCCCTTCCCTCGCCCCCCCCCAACTTACCTCGGACTGCCCCTTCCAAGCGTTTCGTCGTCCACCAGCCACGTGAGGGAGGCGGGGGGGATGGAAGGCAGGTGGCAGGTCAGTCTCACGGCGCTGTTCGTCCTCACGCTCGTGTTGCGGGGAAGCATCTGCCACGACCCAGTGT